ACTCTCCATGTTGACAAATGCATATAATGAGGATTCCTACCACTGAAAATATGAACATGGGCTTCAGTAGAAAAGTCAGGAGGACTGCAGCCTAGAACAGACTTATGTAAAAGGAAGAAAATACACACAAACAAACAAAAAAATCCCCGGAGATCTAGGAGTAGCACGCAGCCAAGAATCTGGCACATTACTTAGGCACTCAATACATGTGTGTTTACTGAATAAATACCAACAAAAATCCACTGCCTAAAGGAAACTTTGAAAGTGTGCTCTTTAAGTAGAATAGGAAACTCATTGGGTTTTATTTTCCTTTTACTTAAAACCTTGATATGTAAATTTATATAGTTTGGTAATGTTTAATTTGTACATTTACTAGCATAACAATCTCCTAAAACCACATCCAATTCTTCCTTTCCCCTTGGTACACTTGTTAAAAATTATCTACCTACCTACATACCAAAGGACTGGGAGCCCTGGTGTTGTAATGTTTCCTATATTTTGGACAACAACTCCAAATCCAACAAATCCAAGTTTAAAACTATAATTAAAAATGCATAGTACAGTACATATAATTGAGTTATATTTTTATAAACTATTGCATTATAGTGAGTAGGGTATATATGTCCATATGCCTTACTAGATGATATGCTTTTCAAGGGCCAGAACTGTTTTTAATCCATGTTTCCGCAAGGTGACTGGAATTTGTAAATTTTAGACATTCAGTGCCTGTTTCTTGCAGGATTAATTCAGGAAAAAAAACCAATATCAACATTAACCAAGGCTTGGGGTAAAGATGAAGAAGTCTCACAGTCCTGCAGTTCTCATGCTGTCTTTTATGAGATTAATATAAAAGCCAAAGGGAAAAGTCTATAATTTTATTCCAGGTATGTACAACCTTCTGATTGGGATTACGTTCCAAAATGCTTGTTCTAGACGATGCAAACAGTTGAGAACGGCTGTAATGTGATCAACAGCCCTCAAATGTAGGGTTCTTGATGCTCATGGCCTTTAGGACTTACAGAGGTTTCTGCCAATCTACTGTGAAGGACACACAGGCCTTTTAGAGCAGGTTATTTTCTCGAAGGCATTAAGTTCTACGAAAATATAAAAAGCAGACTAAGAATTTAAAATGTCTACATGTAGTAAAGAATATAGAGCAACACGGTGGAACTCAACTAAAAAGAAAAAGCTAGGGACTCCTTGTTTTTATATTTACTATACTCTCTGGCAAAACAAATTCTGACATACAATTTTGAATTCGGTCAACTCTGGAAATTGAAATTAAGTAAATTTTTGCATTTTAGTGGTCATCTCATCATTTATAAAAGTGCCTATCTATAAAACTAGGCTGGTACACAGCCCTGCTATAGTCTAGAAGTTACATCCATTCTGCATTGTTCCCAGTAGATTATGTACAGATGTATCTATAAACACCAATTTGTGAATTTCAGATGCACAGCTCATTTAAGTGCTTGAGGTAGAATAACACGCAGGTGTCAGCCCTCCATATTTCAAAGCTTGAAGATTAACCTCATATACAATATGGTGACCTAAGAGTTCTTCATTTGAAAGAAATCTGAAAAATAATCTCTGATACAGCCTAAGTGTGAGAATAACCCAGCGGGATTTCCACTTCTTCATTTCTTAATGAGTTTTTTGATAATGAGAGGTGACTTTGCCAGTCACTCTGGGCTCTATTATGGCTAATTTGACTCCACTTCACTCTCCTTGTTAATTATTAACACTAGCCTTTTTATCCTCATGAGACCACATTCCAATTTTTCTTTTTTCGATTTTTATGAGCCCATCTTTATGAAGGTGAAAGTCTTGGAGAATAGGTTTTCACTTAGTGTAGAGCCTGAACATTTATTATTCGTTTAGGCAGAGACTCTGTGACATTGATTATATAAGCATGGGTGTTCTTCAGGATGGCTTTAATGTGCTAGCAATGTGAAAAGGCTGTTAATTAAAGAAGAACCACCGTGGTATTTTTCACTTGGGAATCTGTTCCCAAAAGAACGGTCATTTGCCACTTGCTAACATATCCACAGATTAAAAGGTGACTAGCTCCAAGGGTTTGCCTTTCAGCAGTGCTGAAAGAAATGATTTGTGCCATTTGCAGATGGCTTTCATTTGTCAGAAGCGGTCACTTGCCATATCTATTATCGACAAGACAATTGCGGAAGATAGCATGCAAGGGTAGAATCTAGTCGCACAGCATCATTTAACTATCATGCTAATTGCTTCATTATGAAAACATTTATTTTCCCTCAATTTTAATACATCTCTTTCTCAAGACTGTTTCCTTAGATACCATTTAAAGTGATTACCCATTTAATTATCTCTTTAGTTGGGGGGCAGTGGATCAGGGTGGACGGAGGTAGGTTGGAAGGACAAGCAGGAGCTCAGTCTTTTCTGAACAGAAATGAAGGAGCCGGAGTTTGTTTTCATCATCAGTCCCGCTCTGGGAATCAGTGGGTGAGTCTGTGAGGGGCGGGAGATTGGGGACAGTTGCTAAAATTATGGTGCAGCTCATACTCTTCCCTCGAGGAAACACCACACTTCATCTCCAAGGGTTCTTAAGGCTAAGATTTTCCCTAATCATGCCCAACTCTCAGGAAAGATGCATGCCCCCCGCAGAATTTTCTTCTCCTTAAAATAAAAACTGAATTTGCTGTCTTGAATCTTTTCCCCCACTCATTAGTTTAGTCTCTGGTGTTCTCATCATGGATGTTTCATAACGTACGTGATAGGACAACATATACCATTCTCTGGTTTGTTCTGTACCCTTTAACCAACTCTCTTCCCCTGCCCCCACAACTCAAGGACCTTCTGAGAATTTTCTAAGGTAAAAATAAAACTTCAAGGAATTTCCTATCTTCCTTTAAAGACTGTATTATTCTATAAACGCCCCAGAATCTGCTTTTGTTAGTGCAGACCCAGACTGAACTGGAGACCACCAGGTGAGCACCCTGTCGGTGATCCCCATCAGCAAGATCCTGCCCAGGCACATCGCCTCTTAGGGATTTAGTTTCCTCAGCTGGAAAATGAAGAGCTTTGTCAAAAACCCTGTCCACTTTTCCAAAAGATAAGCACCTATTTTAAAATATCAAAGCATCAAGATTTTAATAAAAGAAAGATGGTAAACAACCAGTGGAGACATCTGAATTATTCACTGAAAGACAAAACCCCAAACAACTCAGCTACCAAGTTTTCAAGGCACAAATAAAGCAAAAATTCTAACTAATACCCCCAACTACTTGGAGATGTGTTAGTAATTTTTATTTTGGCAAAGCAAACATAAGCATGCAACATTATCATAAATCACAACCATTTAAAATCTATGTAATTAGTTGTGCAGCACATGCAAGGTAACAGCAAACACTGTTATTTAGCAAAATATTTCCCCTTCCAAGACTGGGCCTTGCAGAGCAGTCTCTTTCTATTACTCCTGGCTAAAGTTGTAACTAATTAGAATTTGGGATATAATGTTAATTGGGTCAATGTGGTAAAAGCTATCATGCCATGGCAGTGATGTAAGGCTCTTTCTTTCTAGGTGGGATTAAAGGGATACAAGTTTTATGTTTTCTTAAAGCTTTCCAAAAGGTCAATATGGGGGCAGCGATAGGTTGACATTTAACATTTGGATTGCATTCAGTAAATCACCATCTGAATATTTCAGGAATTTAATAAAACAAGCACAGAATTATTAACAATGTTCTTCATTATTATCAAGAGTGATATTAATAGCAAAAAAAAAAAGGTATGTTTTACCAACTATTAAGATGCTCAGTGGTCTTGGCTTTGGATAGTAACTTGTGAGTTTGAGGTGAAAGTCACTATATTCTATTTCAATTCCCCAGACTCTCCTGTACTCCCGATACCAAAAGGAAATTATGGCACTGGGGAACTTTTCTATTTACCTCACTACATAGAGGAGCTGTTTTTCTCTGAAATAATTGATGTTTTCTCAAATCTGTTAATCACTGCAAAATCAAAGCCAAGATCTAGACTTACCCAAAAACTGACATTGCTCAAAAGAGATCAGTAATAAATGCTTCCATGTTTTAACTGAATCATGTGTGACAAAACAACATACAACTATACGTTATGCATTTAATAGAAGCTGATGTTACAGAAATGGCTTAAAACAGGAAAGGGAGTATGCAACTCTTTTGAATTACATATTTGCAAGTCTAGATAAAAATTAAATTTCTGCTATTCTCATTTTAGTGGTTTTTTTCCCCCCACAGTTCCACAGAAGGTGGTTTATTGCTTTTAGAACAAAATAAAATGATTTCAGAACTTTTGTTAGTGAAGAAAAACTGTCAGAACTTGAAAACTTTTCTAAACATTGTTTTGTCAGTCAATGGAAGCAGGCACTTCAACACAGAAAACTTCCGGCTTACAGCTGCGTGGAGCGCCCACTATCCGGCTTGATACAGCTAGGGGCTGAGAAGCGGGGCTTGGCTCACAGCCCCTGTCGCTGTCCTGAGCATCAGGGCTGACCTCCTTTTTTTTTTTTTTTTTTAAGATTTTATTTATTTATTTGACAGAGAGAGACACAGCGAGAGAGGGAACACAAGCAGGGGGAGTGGCAGAGGGAGAAGCAGGCTTCCCGCAGAGCAGGGAGCCCGAGGTGGGGCTCGATTCCAGGACCCCGGGATCTGACCTGAGCCGAAGGCAGACGCCTAACGACTGAGCCACCAGGGCTGACCTCCTTGCCCCGGCTCATGCGGAGCTCCTTCTCCAGCACCCGCTCCGGGCTCTTCCTCACCACCCCACCCCTCGCAATCCTGTGCAGAACCGCCATTTAGGAGCGTTTGTTAGGCGTTGTCCATGGGGGATGCAGGAGGTCAGGCTACTACTGGGGCAGTGGGAGCCTGGCACTATCCAAGGAGAGCCAGAGATCCCATGCCCAGTGCTACCACTTCACACCCTAGTCCGGCTGTGGGCTCAGCAGGCTTGCTATAGACCAAGTGGGGGCTCCCAGCAACTACAGATGTCTGAGGCAGGAAAACAAAGCTGCCAGTTCATGGCAGCCCCGACAATGATCCCTGGGGGCTGATCTTGGCCTCCAACCCTGGCTGAGGAGAAAAGGGGGCTCACTCCAACTCCCTCCCCCCGCCCCATGCATAGCCCCATGAGAGAGAAGCCCTGCATTTTAGCGTTCTTGTTGATATAACTCTCATAAATTTACACTTGCAATGCAAGAGCTCTTCTTAAAAATAAATATTAAAGGATGCTAATTCATTGGAGTTGCAGTAGAGGTCCCCCCCCACCCAAATTTCTAAGAAGTCTACACTTGTTTTCTCCATAAATAAATTCTGATTTGTTGAATAAGTTAAATGATTCATCATCTTTACTGTTTGACTGTGAACATTAATAAATGCCCTATCTTTGCATAAACTCCCAAATAAATCTAAATATGGTCAATTATTGAGTTTTCATGCAAATGAAGAAAGCAGTTAGAAATAAGCCTATGCTTATTTCCTTTCAGCTAGGGACTTAATGCATAGTATATGTATTTATTTTTGGTCCAGGTTTATTATCTTAAGATAATATTAAACCTGAGTTGTAATTTCTTAGCAGAAAACAAATGATGCTAAAAGACTGGGGAAAGGAGAAGGTCATTTAAAGTCTTCTAGCTGGCAGGAGGGAATCAAAGTACAGCTTAAAAGCTGGCTGGTCATCGTTTGCAGAATGCATGATTCACATACAGATAATTCAGTGTGGGGTTAGCAACTTCTGAGAGTTAGACACTGGTTAAATCTGAAGTAGGAAATGGAGCTTAGTTCTTTGGCTTTCTAATAGGATCATTGGAAATGAAACTGGATAGGAGATGAAATTGATTCAAAGAGTCAAGACTGAAATTTTCACAGACTAATATTTATTTTGTATCTACTATACGTGAGCTACTATGGTATTAATTCTCACCACCAATGACACTGTAGGTACTATTACTTTCCTTCCTTTATAGATGAAGAACCTAAGGTCCACAGAGGTTGAGCTATTGCCAAAGGTCAAGTTGCAAGTGGCAGAGACAGATGTGAATTTGTCTGGCATCAAAGTTCATGTTATTAATTACTAAAAATGGTGCCTCTCTTACTATGACAGAGGTTCTTAACCTGCTGTCCTAAATCTGCTGTCCATGGGGAGGTTCTAATACTACACTACACAAAATTTCGTATTAGTGTGGATTCCCCCCCACCCCCCAGTAAAACAGTAGTTTTATCAGAGATTCAAAGGGATGAACAGCCAAAGAAAGGTAAGAAACAATGGAGTGATGAACAAAGCCAAAAGAAGTAATTTTTTAAAAAGCAAAGACAAACGTAAAGACATGGGTTTAAGTTTAAACCTACAAGCATACCGTAGCAGTGCCTGGGAAGAGAGCAGTAAAAAGCTCTGGCGTTTTAAAATATGGCAAGTTTGAAACGTATCACAGGGGGACTGAGTTCCTTGGGCGAGTTGGAGCAGTACGAGCTGAAGACAGGGCAGGGGAAGGGCACCTCCCCCGGGGATCTGGGTTACTCGGGTCACACTGTGAGCACTGTGTTCTTCACAGCACCACACTCCAGGGCAATCCTGAGAAATGGAGTGAGGTCTGGGCAGGGGAAGGTGACGAGCAGGGTAGTGGGCACAGAAGCCCTACCACGTGAGAAAGAACTGCATGACCTGTCAGCAAGGGCTCGGAGCAGAACACACACAACAGTAGAAGCCTGTTCCATCCATCGAGCACAACAAGTCAGAACCAGAGGGTAGGATGAGGCAGAGGGCACCTTGGTCTATAATGGGAAGAACTGTCTAGAATACGTAACTGGTGACGCAATGACCACTGCAAGTGTTAAAGCAAAGGATGTCAGCAGTAACCAAAGCTGGGTTGGTTGAAGGGAAACTTCAGAAAGAGTCATCACAGGAATCTGTATGTTAAGAAATGTCCCTATAAAGTCCTGATGTAAAACGAGGTTTGTTCTGGCCGCTAGAAGACCATGCATCGGAAAATTTGTAAATGTTATTATTGCATTGGAAGGAAATGTCTCAGGAGAGGACCTTCACATTCTCTTAAATTTCTCAACACTGAGAGAAAAACCCATACTGCACAGCAACATTACACCATCATCTATGGAAGTGAATCCCTCTCAGGCAAACAATAGTATCAGGATGCATAATAAAAATAGAAAATAGAAACCTTAACAAAGCATGGATTCCCAGACTAATGACACATTTCTAAGATGTCTTTCAGAGACCTAGGTATTCTCCAGTGCTTCAGAAATGCTAACCTTTGAAGATTTTCTGATTCACAAGGTGCAAAGAGAAAGATGCGTATGTCAGCAGGAGAGGAGAAATAACAGGAACTTCCGGGGCCGGTGGAGCAAAGTGGGCAGGTTACTGCTTTTCCCCAGAACCCGGCCTGAAAAAGTCAGGGACACTGAGCAAATACTATTGTTATCTATGTCAGTCTTGCTGAGTTAGTGCGAGAGCTCTGTAAATACACATTCACACACACAACACTCTCTCCGTCCTCCCCGTTTCATATACTAAAGAAAACGCAAGTGCTTACTGTCATTTCTGAGGAAATTATTGAGCAGTTGGAAAAGAGGAAAACTATCCCAGGAGTCTTGTGGTTGGGCCTCCAGTGCAGTATCCATATCTACTGTGAATAAAGCCCAGAATTTCTCTGCATGCTCTGCCAATAAATCAGGCCACCAGGCAAATGCCTGTAAAAGGATAAAGAAACAATGCAAAATTAGATTACTTCTTAGAAACACACACAAATATTGTGCCACCTGAAAACGTCACTGAAAATGAAATTGTAGAATGTTGTAGAATAGGATACCACATTTTAAAATATTTCTACTCACAGAAAAAAGAGATATTAGAAATACATAAAATATCATAGTAGTTATGCTTAAAATTATGAGATACTAAATTTTTTCTTGTTTTATGTATTTTTCATCTGTTCTAAATTGAACATGTATTTTTAACGTAAAACAATAAATGTCATTTTGCATTTTAATTCTATTTTAGATTTCATATTTCATTTAGTGCCAAATTTGCTTACTTAAAATTTGTGTATAAAATTTCTTCTCACATTCAAAAAAATATTACTTTTTATTTGTAGTACTTTTTAAAATAAATCTAAGGTCTAAAGCTCAAATACACTTCCATAGTGTAGGGATAGAGAGGGATTTCCAGACCCTCCAATGTAAATTAGGTACTCTGGTAGGTAGGTAGTCTTATCAAGTCTTAACACAGTCTCTCTGATGCTCAGCATTTTAATTTCACAAGTCTTGGTATTGCAAATATGACTACATATGTGAATATTTTAATTTCTGCCTCTTAAATTTAGGCTGTAAACACTACAAAGACAAGTCTGTATATGTTGTTTATTACTTTATACTCAGCTAGGTATTTTCTAATTCCTTTTAGGTAATGGCAGTAATCGCCTTAAAAAAAATGTTTAGATGAATGAAAATAATATTTACTTTTTAGAAAGTTCTTGAAAACAATGTGGTCTGATGATGGATCAGAGCTCCAACACAACGTGCCCGTGGAACTTAGCAGCAGGCCCAACTTCCTGTGGTCCCTGCCAGCCAGCTGGCCCATAAACCCTATCAACTACAAAACTGCCAAATTGTTCCCTAAACTGCTAAGTAGATAAGCATGACTGTAATGAATGAGTTTGAGTTTTGTAAAGAAAAATCAAATCCAAATCAGATAACTCATACTGAAATATAAAGTTTTAAGTGTCTTTTTCCCTCAGATCTATTTGATTTATATAAAGGAGCAAACTATAATATAGGAAATTGTATGATTTTAAATGTGGCATACATTTTAAAAGTTGGTCCAATTAATTAAAAAGACCTTTAACAGAGACTCAAGTTTCCTAAGAAATCCATATTTAGATAAATAGGAGAAGACATTTACAGTCAGCCAGAGCCTTTGCTGGGACTAATGTCAACAAAAAATTTAATATGGCAGTCTTGTATTTTAAGCTTGAGCTTTTGGGGATACATTCTCAGGTCTTCTTTAATGTGCAAACTGCAAATAGAACTGCCATTATATGGTAATGGGAGTTAAAGAATGTAGAGTTCTCGTGTAAAGATTAGAACATACTTTTCTCTTAGTCCTTCAAGGACAGACTTTCAAAATGTTTGATTCTACTAATTCCATCCTACAGTGAAGAGACTGATTACTCTTCACTTTATAATGTGGCTGGGCTATGTGAAATCGGGTATCAACTGATCAAGATGTGAATTTCAGTTACGGATGAAAACTGTCTCAATTCAACCTTTATTACCCTCCTCGTGAGTATGCAGGGTGTTAACAAAAGCTTTTGTTTTTAATCATAAAAGGGAAAAGTATTAATAAGGACTATTATCAGAAAAATTTGTAATGGATACACAATACTGAAGAAGTAAATTCTCATATGAATAACATAATGTGTGTGTGTGGGGTAATAAAAGTGTAGTGTTTTTGTATGTGATTAAATTTAAGTTGTTACCACTTTAAAATAGTGTTAAAAGGTCTGGAGTCCAGTTAAAAGGTAAATCCTTGCCTAAGAATAGTTACTTTAAGTGTAAATGTAAATTAAACTCCCCAATCAAGAGACACAGGCTGAATAAATGAATAAAACAACAAGATCCAACTATATGCTTATGAGAGACTTTAGATTTAAGGACACACATAGGCTGAAAATGAAGGAATGGTAAAAGATATTCCATACAAATGGTAACCAAAAGAGGGCAGGGGTGTTTATACTTACATCAAACAAAACAGACTTTAAGTAAAAAACTGCCACAAGAGAAAAAGCAGGTCACTACATAATGATAAAGGGTCAATTTTCCAGCAAGATAAAACAATTATAAATATATATGCACACCACCTCATAGCACCTAAATATATAAAATAAACATTGACAGATCTGAAAGGAGAAATAGAAAGCAATACAATTACAATTACAAGAGAAGAATTCAATAGTACACTTTCAATAATGAACAGATCTCATCTGGATGGAAAATTAATAAGGAAACAGCAGACTTGAATAACACTATAGACCAAATGGATCTAACTGATAGATATAGAACATTCCACCCGGCAGCCGCAGACTGCAAATTCTTCTCAAGCACACACAGAACAATACCCAGGATTGATCACATGCTAAGTCACAAAAAACTTAACTTTTGAAATCATCCCAAGTGTCTTTTCCAATAGCAGTGGAATGAGATTAGAAATCAGTAACAAAAGGAAAACAGAAAAATTCACAAATACATGGAGATAAACAAGACACTCTTAAAAGACCATTGGATGAAAGAAGAAACTTAAGGGAAACAGAAAATATCTTGAGACAAACAAAAATGAAAGCACAACGTATCAAAATTTATGGGATGCAGTAAAAGCAGGACTAAGAAGGAAGTTTATAGAAATAAACACCTATATTAAAAAAGAAGAAAGATCTTAAACTACCACGTCATGTCACACCTCAAGAAACTAGAAAAAGAACAAACTTAGTCTGAAGTTAGGAAAAGAAAGAAAATAAGATTAGAGCTTAAATAAATGAAACAGAGACTATAAAACAATAGAAGAGATCAATGAAACTAAGAATTAAGTTTCTTAAAAATAAACAATATCAAAAAAACTTCTGACTAAAAAAAGACAGAAAATGCAAATAAATAAAATCATAAATGAAAGTGAGGACATCACAACCAATGCCACAGGAATAAAAAAGGGACCATTACCCATTGATTTCTTGAATATGACACAAAAAGTACAGACAACAAAAGCAAAAATACATCAAAAGGACTACATCAAACTAAAAAGCTTCTGCATGGCAAAGGAAACCATCAACAAAATGAAAAGGCAACTTATGGAATGGGAGAAAATATTTGCAAAAAGTTTATTTAATAAAGGGTTAATATCCAAACTGTATAAAAAACTCCTACAACTCAATAGCATGAGAACCCCAAATAACCTGAATAAAAGATGGGCAAAGACCTGAATGGACATTTCTCTGAAGAAGCCTAACGAATGGCCAACAGCTATATGCAAAAGGTCCTCAACATTATTAATCATAATTTGATTTTCAAATGCAAATCAAAACCACAATGAGCTATCATCTCACACCTAATTAGGATGGCTATTATAAAAAAAAAAAACAACCCAAAAGGTAAGTTTTATTGAAGATGTAGAGAAAAGAGAAGTCTTGTATACTGTTGGTGAGAATGTAAATTGCTACAACCACTATGATAAACAGTATGGAGGTTTCTCAAAAAATTAAAAACAGAAGTATCATATGATCCAGCAATCCCACTTCTGAGTTTACATCTGAAGGAGTTGAAATCAGAACCCTAAAGAGATATCTGCATTGCCACGTTTACTGCAGCATTATTCACAATAACTAAGACATGGAAGCAACCTAAATATCCATCAACAGATGAATGGATAAAGAAAATATGACACTTATATATAATGGAATATTTTTCAGCCTTTAAAAAAGAAGGAAATCATGCCATTTGCAACAACATGGTTAAGCCTAGAGGATGTTATGCTGAGTGAAATACTCCAGACACAAAAGGACAAACACTACATGACCTCACTTAAATGAGGAATCTAAAACAGTCAAATCCCTAAGAGCAGAGGATAGAATGGTGGTTTCAGAGGGTTGAATGCCTGGGGGGAGTGTGAAACATGGAGGTATTAGTGAAAGAGTACAAAGATTTGGTTATACAAGACAAGTCTTAGAGATCTCCTCTACAGTATAGGGCCTATAGTTAACTGCATTTTGCTTAGAGGCTACATCTTGTATTAAGTGCTCTTATCACACCCACATAAAAAAGTAACATGGATTTCTCTGACTATTCCATCTCAGTTTTGTTTTAATTTGCATTTCTCTAATTATGAATGAGTTTGAACACATTTTTCGTATGTATAAGGGCTCTATACTGTTTTTAGTGAATTATTTTTCAGGTCTTTTCCCCCCTTAACATTTTTTTAAATTATTATTAAGTAAACTCTACACCCAACATGGTTTTGAACTCATGACCCCAAGATCAAGAGCCACATGCTCTACGGACTGAGCCAGTTAGGCGCCCCCTTTCTCCCCTTTTAAAATTTATCTTTTGCTGGTGTTAAAACTTTTTAACCAAATAACTACAAAACATTCACATTTCTGTGATAAATTTATATTATTCTTCCAATCAAAATTAATCACTTAAAAAAGGATTCATCATACTATAGCCAGAGAAGTCAACATTTACTTTCAAGAACTTTCTAAGAGATACATGGTTGTAAAACTTCATTTAATTTCTTCAAATGTAAATTACACTAAAACCACACAACAGTCAAACCACAAAACAAAATGGATTATAAAATATCAACACATTGGGTATTTTCTTTTTTTTTAAGATTTTATTTATTTATTTGAGAGGAGAGAGCTCAAGTGGGGGGAGGGGCAGAGGGAGAAACCCTGCTGGGAGCTCGGAGCCTGATGTGGCGCCAGACACGGGGCTGGACACGGGGCTGGATGCGAGGCTCCATCCCAGGACCATGATCTGAGCCAAAGTCAGACGCTTAACCAACTGAGCCATTTCGTCACCTCATCAGATTGGGTATTTTCTTAAAAACTTGTATCACAAGAATAATGTTCAATATATTAATAAAAAACATCACCATGTGATGAATTAATGGATGGCAATATAAGAAAATGTTGCCTATAGAA